GCATTACAGGTAGGAGGTACACTATACACCCCAACGAATAACATGTAATACCACACATACGGTTTACCTTCCTGCAATGTCCCTGTAGAGCTCCCAGTATGTTGGTAGGATACAAGTCTGCCTAGGGATCGTACTCAGGGATCCCGCACTGACAAACAATATAAAAAAAGGGCATTTGAGATATCACTCACTATCCACAAACACTATAAGGATGTTCTGTCACATGCTAAAGATCCCAGTCAATCTTTGAAATTTAACAGCTATTGATGTAGATTGGCCCAACCCCCGACACTGAGGGGGGGGCACAAAAAGGAGAGCGGTGTCCCGCCTCCGAGACTAAGTGGAAAGTGGAGCTCAAGTCCTCTTCTTCAACCAAAGGTTTGAATGTAGACTTGGACATTAACTGTTTTTATTGACAACTAGTTGATTTCTTCTTTTTATCATATTCATAATTTTAATATGTATCATCAGGATATGTAATGTCCTTTTTACTATTATTATTCTGCTGTGGCTGGTTTTTAACTCCTATACTGATTACCCTGGCGACTTTATTATTCGCTTCACCAATTTTAGCATATTTTTCTTGGGTGTAATCTAAAAAATTACTTTTATGTTCATGATATTGAGGATCAACATGGAAGTTAGAGCCCTTAACGTTTAATCCATATATCGGGTTTGACAATATAGTTTTGGGTTTATATTAAAGGTTTTAATTTAATCTCTGGCATGGATGTGCCCTTATATACCAAAACGGCGGTGCTCTTTAAAATGAGGGGATCTGGATTAATATATGGGTATGCTTTATCCCCAATTTTAAGCTTTAGATGGGACCGTATGATTGTCCATTACTCAATTTATGCTTGTCACTATATGTATACTATGAAATAAGGCATGATCCAACTGTTTTTGGTAACAAATTGTTTATTTGGAGTTTTTTATATTGATTTGATAAAACGTTTTTTTTTAAGGACCATAACAATATGGTGTTTAAATATCTTATTCACCTATGGTGTTTTAAACATGGATTACAATTTTCTTTTTTTTATATATTTTTTATGTCCTATTTATTGTTGTTTTATGATCCATGTTATATTTCCCTGATGGTCTAGTATTATCACCATCCGCATTAATAATCGTTGCAGCGGTTCTTTTTTTAAGTTTCCATCATTATAGCAGAGTTAGCAGCCGTCCAGGACCCGCCCCCAAGGCATATCTATCTATGGGCTCAGATGTGTGCTTGCCGTCCGACCCGCCCCTGGCCCTAAGCTATGTGTGGGCTTGGATGTCTAATGAGTGCCCAATATTCATGTTAGCATTCGCGCAATGCAGTGATCGCGTACTGCGTCTGACGTCACTCGCGCATGCGCGGTAAATCCCCGGCGGCGCGTGGCGCTTACTGCGCATGAACGCGTGACCGCGTCATTTAAATCTGGCGTCTTAGGGCAGGATCTACCCCCTTTGAAAACGAGCGGTGTGCTCGAAACATGTTTGGGGAACCACCCTATTGACGCCTATACCACCAGGGAACCACTAACCACCAGGGAATTCTTTGATTGGATTCTGGATGGTCATCTTAAACCCATGGGATCTGTGGGGATATATATTTAATATATGGTCCCTTTCTGGTCACTTCTAGCCACCAGGGGTCTTTTAATTAAACCTGGATGCAAGCCTCTTATTGATGAGGAACACCTACTAGCCACCAGGGAACCTAAAGAATGACACCTGGATGTACCTTTCTATGCTGATGTGAGTTTTCCTTCCTTTTGTTTGGTTTTTACTCTGAATAAACGTACTTCACCATTGATACCTTCTTGCCTCCTGGCTCGTTTTTAATGAGCTTTGTAAGGTGGTGATCTGGAATAAGGAGCCACTGGATGCCTGGACAACGTTGGACCCACTGGCCTTGATGTCCTTACATGACCAGATGCTGCTCATGCTGTTGACCAGACCGTGATGTCCTGTTGCTGATTTACATACAATGCCCATATTGTATGTAATTGTGTTAAGCGCATAACCGCACTATATACATTTTTCGTTCTGTCAGAATTGGAATGGGGACACATAGGATCTTATTCCGTCTGCCCTCCGGATACACTTTAATGGACAATATGTACTTCTGTGATGATAACTATGATGACATTTTTATTTGTAATTTTTGTAGCGCTACATACCCCCTTTTTATAGTTTTTATTGCTGTCTGTGCTCCAGTTAGGGAACATAACTCTCTTCATTTGTTCAATTGACCATTATCATTGAGAATTAAGGTAAAAAAGTCCCAGGGAGCGCGCACAGTACAAAATGGCAGGCACCGTTTATGAACGGCAACCAGCTCCTACACTGCTCCCATCCGGCCGTTTATATACATGGCCAGACGGGAAGTGGTTAAAGTCTTATTAAACCCAAATCCAAATATGTAATACTGTAATATTGCAGCTTACCAATCATTAGATTTGTGGCTACATTGATTTTCTTTTTTTTAGGCTTCCTTCCCTCTGTTTTCACTTGGTGATCTGGCCAGTAACACACCTCCTGTATTAGAGTGCCCCTACTCTAGATGAAGGAGCAATAGGGACACATTTGGACAGCAGCATTGTTAGTATGGGGGGGAGGGGAGTGTTAGATGCACTAGAATATTTTTTTTTTCCTTTTGTGATAAATGTTTTACATGAAATAATAAAATCATCATTGTACACACCTCTGTCAGTGTTAATTGGTTTGTCTAATCTCTGTAACTGACACATGCTGCTTTATAGCTTGTTCTGTTGAAAAATAACAGATTTACTGGATCACCAGATGAAAATAAAAAGAAAGAAAGCCTAAATAAGAAAATGAAAGCAGCCATCGCATCTAAGAACTGGTAAGCTGCAGTATAATAAATGTTTGCTTTAGTGTTTAATACCACTTTAACTAAACAAAAAAACCTTCTATTTCTTTCAGCCTCTGGCAAATCCCCAAATTCACTTATTTGTTGCTGTGATCTGACTTTCTGTTAATGGGTGGCTATATTTGCTCTCCATGGTCCCTCTGTATGTAGGAATGTAGCCACTCTCTCTTGATCACTTCCAAGATATACTATAGACTAAGACAGGGGTAGGCAACCTTAAAGAGGTAGAGATCTACCTGAACAACATGGGAGAAGTCAAAGATCACCGGGCACAATATTGGCCAGTGTCACCTCCTCACACCTCATTTTAATCCTCTAATTGCTGTACTACCATGTTGCAATCACGTGCATTGCACAAGCAATCATGGGTTTAAATCAGGCAGTGAGGAGGCAACATATTGCCTCCTCATCACCTGTCAAAACACACTCGGATCGCTCTGCAGAGGAGCAGCATTGCCTGTTGCACTTGTGAGTGAGCCCTTAGGGCTTGTCCCCCATGTAAAGAGAAGGTGTGGTAAAACCCTGCGGTTGGGTCACAGATTTACCGCTGCCAATCCCTACTCCCTTTAGCTGCTGAGGCAGCAGTCAAAGGTGCACACATGCAGCAGCAGGAATAGGTTGGTACTACCGCCAGTTAATCAAAATCCATTCAAGTAAATGGGGCCACTCTGCAAGTGCCCCGCAACTGCATGCTTCTACGAGGTCAAGGGGTTAAAGCAGGTGGCGAGAAAAAACAACACACCCGCTGTCTGTTTACCCACTTGTTTGCTGTACTGCACAAGGTAGCAGGGCACTTGCAGAGCGGCCTAATTCACTTGAATGGGTCATGCTTGGCAGGTGCTACACCCACCAACCATGATAGGGGCATAGGAGCCAGCACCACAAAGGAGACATCAACTTATGTGGGTCTTGCTACCTACTACAGCTCCAACTTTACAAGTAGCCTCTCTGCATTGCACTCTGTTTGATGCTCTGGGATGGTGGGTCAGCAAGCCCTTACCTGTGATCTACCCAGTCACCTGACTGAGATGTACTAGTAGATCATGAAATACTGGTTGCTTACCTCCAGACTATAGGTCTATGAACCATACAATGTGTAGTGTGCATAGAGAAGTGTATATGACAGCACCACTTGTTGCAAACAAACAAAAATGAGGGCAAAAAGGAGAAGTTTGAGAGCTCAAGGAGGGTGTTATAAGGAGGCAGAAAACATAGTAAGAAACTATTTCATGAAAAAAAAAAGATTGCAATGCCATTAATTATTGGATGTCTATGGCTTATTTTTAGAATATAAGGCTTAGAGTTTAGAGTCACTTTACCTATTCCTTGCTTTTCAAAACCTAAAAAAAAAACATTTTTTCTACTAATGTTAGGAAGATGATATCTGAAATCTGGTTTGTAAGGGCACCAACTAGTTTTTAGATATAAGTCTTGTTATACATTCCCAGAGTGAGCTGGGCTTTCTGTAATAACTTATGTTTCATTATTTCCCACTCAATATATACAGGAATACATAACAAATTAATCAGTACCGGTGTCATTATAACCTTTATCATAGCAGAAATATGATTTGTCAAGTTGTGTTTTAGCAAAAACCTAACAATAATTAATTTTTTTCTATGGCTAATCAATGTCTGACTGTGACATTCCAGCGAAACTAAATCATGAAAACAGAAGCAAAAACTCTGAGTGGATCTGTAATGAAACATGAGTCATTTTGAGTGAAAATGTGGTTAAATGTCACTTAATACAATTCTGTTTGCGATGTGCATTCCAAAATCATTTAATTCTAGTGGCTGGAGCAGCCAAGTGAAAAAGCAATTGTTATAGCGTGGAGTGTCCAACAAGGATGTAGACAACTTCACTTGGGTAAGTGTTGCTGAAAAGAGACGTGCCTCAACAAAACTGTATCTGTCTTACTGGTAATCTATACGACATAAGACAGTAATTATACCCAGGAAAAATTGTCTGAAGTTCTTTGCAACAAAGGTTATTAACCACTTCTCGTCTGGCCATGTGCATAAACTGTCGGACGGGAGTGTTGCCAGAGCGGGTGGACGTTTGTAAACGCCCCCCCCCATCCAATGCCTGTGCGTGCTTCCTGGGAGCTCACGACACCGCGATCGCTGTATGGGGCCTCTGTTTGAGGTCCTGATTCATGTGATCACTGATTGGCCAATCAGTGATCACATTAATAGTAGTAAACAAGATGTAACTTCCTGATGTCATTGCTTACTACTTGTGAAATCTGTGAATGATCACAGAGGTCACATGGTACAAGGCTATTCACAACAGCCTTGTACCATGTGACAAGCTGTCACCAATCACATCTCACAGTATTTCTCAATGGCTGCAAAAATGCAGCCAGAGAGTAGGAGAAATTATTGTTTTTACAGCCTTTATGGGTGTAAAAGCAATCGGTGTAAAAAAAAGAAAACAAATCTTCATCACCCCCCACAAGTGGTACATTGTTACTATGAATATTAGAGCAGACTTGAATTCATAAATAAATAAGTCAATAATATCACTTCAACCCAAAGTCCAAAATAAAGTCCAAAAATACTTGTAGGTAAATTCACAATGACTCAGATCCTAGGAGAGGTCGATGGTGAAATTCCAGAAAATCTTCATATATCTCAAAAAAGATAAAACCTAAACATAGTGTATTATCTTAAGGTCTCATAATTGTGCCACACGTGTCACATGCAAACACTAAGGTGCCACAGCAATCGTGAAATATTAAAAGCAGTACAATAAGTAATCCCACTGCACACAATACAGTAAAAGTGCATAATTACCATTAGGTATACTAAACCAGCATAGGATCCATAGTAGGAATGGGAATTCCTCCAAATGACATCATCTTCTCCGGACACTTCCCATAAACCTCATAAACAGACCAGGGGTCAGCATTTGAATCAGATAACACACAATTTTATTGTAGCAACTTACATCAAGAAATTATGAAATCAGCTTCCATATCATGAAACAATATAGACAGCATCAATACTCAACGGTAGCTCCAAAGCAGTGGTCATTCAACTCTAACGGAGATCCAGGTGGAAAATGGAAGTCCCAGGGATATGAACAACCACGTGTTCCAGAACCCAAAATGGCCACCACGGCACTTCCAGAAACGTCAATGCGTCACTACGTCACGTGCCCCGGACGCGTTTCGTCACATGCGGACTTTTTCAACAGGGAAGGACTGTTAAAATGACTTGATTGGGTTGTGTATTGGGTTGTGGTGGGTGCGTGCTGTCTCATTGTTACATTGTCACTATGGTGACACTGTACTGCTAGGGTGAAAATAAATAAATAAATAATAATATAAAAACATAAAATAAAAATGTAAAAAAAAAAGTTTTAAAAAATTATAATTTTTGGTTATAACCTAATTTGTGTTATTTATTTTTACTAAAAAATAGATGATGAATACATTTTGGCTAAGATTTATGAAGAAAGATTATTTATTTGCAAAATTTTATAAGAAAAACACTCTTTTTCAAAATGTTTGATTTTTATTTATATAGCAAAAAAATAAAACTCCCAATAAACTTGTCAATAAATACCACAAAAAATAAAGTTTTATCTGTCTCAAAAAAATGCTAAAAAAAATCATATGGGTACAGTGTTGCATGACCGCGCAATTGTCAAAGTGTGATAGCACTGAAAGCTGAAAATTGGCCTAAACTGGAAGGGGGTGAAAGTGTTCGGACTTGAAGTGGTTAATCAGGGGATTACTGATGTTATCCAGCAAATACTGCAACTGTGCTATCATCTGAAATTTTATTTGAGTTTTCTGTATCCCCCTGCCAGCAGCCTGTATGCAGCTATTGAGAAGTCATTGAGAATGCACTTCCTGCAGCATGTGATGTAACACTTTGGAAGAAATACCTTAGTATCTATATTTTTTTTCCATCAGGAGAGACTACAAGGCAGTGGGTGCGTTTGTGAATCCCTTGCCTGCATCACAACTGAGGTTCTCAGATTACTGTAATAGGACAGGGGCAGGGGCGGACTGACAACTCATGGGGCCCCCGGGCAATAGGGGATCATGGGGCCCCTGTGTCCTTGCCCAAACTCAAAAAAGCCTATGAAAAAGGTACCAGGGGCATCTCATGGGGCCCCCTACTGACCCCGGGCCCTCGGGCAGGGCACGAGTTTCTAAATGGTCAGGGGTGTACTGATGTAGTATATCAATGCTATATTAATTTTTAGGCACATACAGTTAATTTTATTCCAATTTGTTTATCAAACGAAAATTTCATTTTCAGAGATTCGGATGTATACAAATCCTGCAAATGGACATATCAAAAAAAAAATGTCAATGATTCCAAAAATGTTATAACGAAATTAACAAATACAATGGTTTCTTTGTTTCATTCAGATCACGTCACATGATGCAAGAGTAGTTTGGACCCATGGGGAAATTAATAAAATTTAAAAATGTGTCCAATTGTTCAGATTTGGTTAGTGAATGGAACCAACTTTCATTACATTTATTAATTTGGATGCATATGATTTCAGTCGATATTGTCCAATCAGCTCATACCACGTCCCCTGGTGAGTTGGACTAGCATCTGTATATACTGAATCCTTACAATTCGAATATGTTCGATTCGATAATAAAATCAAATATATAGCAATCTTTTGGAAAAACTGCTACATTTTTCATATCCACCTGGACCAACAAAAATACAAAACGAATGCCGAAGATACGAAACAAATTCCAAAAACAAATCGGATCGACATAAACGAATATGACGAAAGGAAATTCTTTAATGAAGAAAAGCATCCAAAATGAGGCAAAATTAAAATTTCCAGCGATGCACATGTCTAACAAATTTCATTTTGACTGGAGGCCTGACCTTTTAGGGCGCATGCACACTGGAGGCCAAAAAATGCCGCTTTCACAGGTGTTTTTTTTTTCTGCCTCTAAACGCCGCTCTATATTTGCCTATGTGCCCGTGAACACATAGGCGTTTACAGCCATATAAAAAAAAAAGTTATCATTTGCATGTTCAGGAGAGGAGTGTATGAGCAGAAAAAAATGCTTGATGTTCCTAAATGCTAGGTGCGCTTAGCGCTTGAGCATTTATTAATTTCAATGGCCAGAATAAATTAATATTTAAGCTGCGTTTTTTCCTACCAGAAGCAAAGATGTTCAGAGAAGCTGGGCAAATAACCTGTGTGGGTGAGGCCTCATGCTCTATTGAAGTAAGTTTCTTGACACTTAATATGCTGAATTATGACTACCAGACCCATACTGGTAAAGCCAGCTAGGCCAAAATGCATTGTCCTTAAAGGATACGTATAGCCCAGGAGCGGACTGACCATTTGGAAACTCGGGCACTGCCCTAGGGCCCGGGGTCAGTAGGGGGCCCCATGAGATGCCCCTGGTACCTGTTTCATAGGCTTTTTTGAGTTTGGGCAAGGACACAGGGGCCCATGATCCCCTATTGCCCGGGGGCCCCATGAGTTGTCAGTCCGCCCCTGGTATAGCCAAACCTATTTTGCGTGTTAATCACCGGGTCTCGGCCAGAGATTCTCCACCAGCACCCAGCAATCGCCAAGCAGTACTGACAGGGAAGAGATCTGTGTGAGAGGTCTCTCTCCTGCCAGAAAGCATATGCTGCTGTGTATTTCTCTGCACAGTAGAGAAATACACAGCAGCATGTTTCCCAAGTAAAACACACACAGCACATGTTGTAAAACACAGCACAGCACACAGTTAACCCTTTGAACCTTTTGTTAGCACTGATCACTGTATTAATGTCACTGGGCATATCAGTGACAGTTAGTCAGTTCCCACCCAGTGTCAGAATGCCCGCTGCAATTCCACTATAAGTTGCTGATCACTGCCATTACTAGTATAAAAATAACAATAAATTCCAGTATATATACCGCCGTTTGTAGATAATATAACTTTCACGTAAACCAATGAATTTACATGTATTGGGATTTTTTTTAGCAAAGACATACAGCAGAATTTGGCCTAAATTAATGATGAAACTTGATTTTTTAATGTTTTTTAGGTGGAAATGTTTTATAGCAAAAAGAAAAAAAATAAATTTTTTTTTTTCCAAAATTGTTGGTATTTTTTTTGTTTATAGTGGAAAAAATTAAAAACACAGGTGATCAAATACCACTAAAAGAAAGCTCTATTTGTGGGAAGAATAAGGGACATAGATTTCATTTGGGTGCAGCACTGTATGACCGCGCAATTGTCAGTTAATGTAACGGAGCGCCATAATGCAAAAAATGTCCTGGTCAGGAAGGGGGGTAAATCCTCTGGAGGGTAAGTGGTTAAAGCAGAACTTAAGCTGAATACCTTAAGAATACTCTCTATACACAGGTTCATAGAATATCTGAGGCTGCATTCCACATGGGTGTTTTGAATCGTGTGCAGAATCGCCGCAATTCTGCCCACTATTTCAAGACGCTCTGCTAAAATGACAAATTGCGGAATAGCATGTTCAGGTGCCATTCATTTTAATGGCACCTGAAAATGTGGTGTGGTTCAAGCATTGCATGTCACCCAAAAGACGTTCAGGAAGTTCTTTTGAGTGCACAATGCGGTTTGGTGCAATTGCAGCGCAATTTATCATGCAGCAATCATGACAAAACCGGGCCTCATTGTCAGGTGCTATTAAAATTTATTGACGTCTGAACACACGGTTCTGGGATATGTCATTTTAGCAGAGCGTTTGAAATCAAAACACCCATGTGTGAATGCAGCCAATTGCTGTTAAGCACAGGAGGACATACAGTAGATTGATAAGCAATTTTTTTTAGAAAAGTGCAATTTAGAACAATAGCAGTACATGACCACAAACTCAAAGGGTCTGATATGTGTTTTCGAGGCCTCTGCTCAATTTCTTTTACATTCTTGCTGTAGGATTTACTAAATAAAATAAATGAATATATTGTTTAGGTTGTGGGAAAATGGCATTCATTGCTAGCTTCTTGAACAAAAAAAAAAAACACAGCACATACCCTCAAAATGTACCCAAAATAACATGTCATTTGCAAACAATTTTAAATATTTTTTTTTCCTTTTGTAAATTTACAAAATAAAATAAGGAAAATATAAATTGATATTGTTTAAATTGTGGGCAAATGGCATTCATTGCCAACTTCTTGAAAAAAAAAACACTGTACACAGTCCCCTCAAAATGTCCCCCAAAATGACAATTTAAATTTACAATTTAAAAACACTTTTTATCCTTTGTAAATGTTAGTGAGCTGCAGTACTACTTTCTGTACATCACAGAGATGTGCCCCATTCACAGGCAGGATTAGAGCACCCCAGGCATGTTATTTAACCTCCCTAGCGGTATGATTATTTCAGATTTTTGGTGCTGAAAGTGGTACCGTTATTTTGCATGGAAATATGTAGTTTTTTTATTGTAGGCTGTAATATTTAGGAATAACTCACTGAAATCTGTCCGAACAAGAGTCTATTAAACATTAAACATTTTACATATGATAAAATTTGAAACACAAAATCAAAAATTATAATTTAATAAATAATCATAAAAAATAATAATATAATAATAATACATTTAATTCAATAATATAATCAAACCAAAAACACTGAAATTTGAAATATAGCGCCAAGTTCGCACATCACTGAGCAAAGTCGCAAAATTGTTTTCAGTGTCTGATGACGAATTTCCCCACGAATCATTATCACTCAATTCTGCAAGTAGTTCTAATTTACTATCGCTGTTCTCTAGCTGATCTAAACCCGCTTTTTGACCTAAAGGGATGCTTTTTGGACCCCATGGATTTTTCTAAGTTTCCAGGCAGAAAGAACAGTCAAAATGCAGACAGGGAACAGGACAAAGCAGTAGGGACAAAATGTATGTGAAATGGGTTGAAACAGCAATGTTTTACTATGTAAAATTTGTTTTGAAAAAAATGACATTTTTTTTAAAATTTTCACATTTCCGCGCTCGTACGTCCCGACGTCACGGGGACCGGAACACAGAAGCCGGATGCCGGCATCAACCGGAGGAGATGGCCGGGGATGCTGCAGGGGACACATCGCGGGAGCGAAGGACAAGGTAAGTGCTGCAGGGACTCCCTATGCAGCGCCGCATGGTAAGCCCGAGTGTAGCTCGGGTTTACCGCTTTTGGTACTCAAATTTTACCCCGAGCTACACTCGGGAATACCGCCAGGGAGGTTAAAGGAATTGGGTATTTTTGATGTTCCATTTTAAGCATTTAAAAATGTACTTCTCCTGGCTTTTTATTTATTTACTTTTGCATTAGTACATGTTCCCCAGCACAATACATATACACTTCCCTCCATGCTATTGTTGACACCCCTTTGCTTACTAGCTCAGAAAATGGGCATTTTTTAATTCGATAGATACAGTTTCCATTGCTTTCAAAGGCTTTTAAAGTATATGTAAACCCTCAACAAAAACAATGCACACAGTTTAAGATAGAAATGAAAGATAAAACATTTGTGTATAGAATAAAAAAAACAAACCCTATTTTCCCCTTTTTTATGTAACGCCCTCCAAATTAGACAAATAGGCTGGGTTTTTGTTTTTAGGCAGAGGCTGAGTAGCAGCCTGGGAATTGTCAGCCTGGGAGTGAGGTAGAGAGGTTACCTCAGGACAGGCTAGGGAGGTTCTGAAGGTCAGAGCTTCTGGAGCCCTCCCACCTCTTCAGAAACCTGAGAGCTTCCTGAAGGAAGGGAGGAGGCTCAGATCTGCACACTTGAGGAACCCTGGCCAATCCCCAAGCAGGAGGTTGGGCATGGTGACCAAAGCAAACCTTAAGTATAACAGAGCCTGGGGAGTGAGTCAGTGAGTGTCAAGTGGAAGATGGAGTGAAAGCGGAAGTGTGGAGCCCAGCAAGGGGCCCAGAAAAGGGGCCTACCTACAGGCAGATGCTGGAAAAGGGAATCTCCGCTACAGCACCGTCTTCTAAGAGGGAAATCCTGAGCAGCAGGGAAAGAGCCAGCCCAGCAGAAGGCCAAAAGGCAGTCACCAACCTAACAAACTGGCAGAAAGGACAGTGTGAGTACCTCTGCGCGCCTTGGGCTGGATAAGGGGAGAGGGCAGTCAGGTGGAAAACCCCACTAGCTTCTCATCTGGGACTGTTCTATATTGGTAGCTTCTGGGTCTCCTTGCCTAGGGAATATCATCAGTACAGCTTGGCGAAGAGGGGGATTCATCTACGGTCTGAGGAGGTACACTAGAAGAAGGGTTTGGATGACATCAGAGGAGATACGCTTTCTTTTTGTCCACATCTTTGTGCATAGTTGCTTTGAGTTGTCCTCTAGTTTCTACAGTTCCTTGGGCATCCCATACACCCCTCAAGCCCATGCAGGTTTTAAACCCCTTCATAAAATCACAAAACCAAGCTCAAGGACTGGTATTGACTCCAGTGTTTAGAGTGTGGAAGAAAATGTGTTGTGCCTGGCTTTGCAGGGCTTTAGGGGGATCCAAAACTCTATGACTCCTAAGGGGGTAATGATACACACATTCCCTCTGTTCTCAGCTGCATAGAGAGGTGGGGTTGAAGAAACAGCACTGCACGCTGGTCTTTCTAGTGAATGGCTGTGTGGGGGAATGTCATCACAGGTTTGATCATTACCGGAGTGCTGACTGAGTTTTCAACACAGCTATAGAACTGACCACGCTGTGCTCCCATGCGTGTGGTCAGTTTTAATAGGAAAGCAGAGGGACTGGCAGGAATACCAGGGGTTTCACACAAAGGAAGCAATACAAAGAGAAGAGGATGCTGATACTCTTTTACAGTACATGGTACAGCAGGCACATCTCAGGAATATGAAATGTTGGGTTTACATATTCTGTTTGGTGTCCAAACATCTTTGATGTTTGCAGAACTGTGTTCCCAACCCAGGACAGTTCAGCTCATCCCTAGGCAAAGTTACCCTGGAACAAAAAGGGACCATTCTTAAAAGTTGGAAGTGAACAACAGTGTAAAATGTCTTTGTATGCTCTAGCATTAACAGTACCATTCACTGGAAACACCAGAACTCAATAAACTGGAGGGCTCTCCACATATTTTTTTTACTATATATATGTTGGATAAGGAGATGGATCAATCCCAATTTTGGTAAAGAGCATGGACATTGAAAGGAGAACACGAGGAATGGTTTGAAGTTCCCACTAAATTGAAAACCCTCTTATTTTCTACTTCTTAAAGTCTGTGCAGAGTATTGTGCAGACAACAATTCAGTTATCTTGAGATCCAATAAAGATATATTGTGAAAAGAAAACCTGTAGAATACTATAAGCCTAGAGAAGAGATAGAACAGTTTTGGCTAAAAGAATCTTCAGAAAAGTGATATGGTGTTTAGTGCTGAGCACCCCTGACACAGAAACAAAATCAATGACACCTCTTGAGGGCAGATCTTCCAAGCGCTGAACACACAGGTAAGTGTGCCTCTTTCTGTAGTAAGTTCAAAGCAGGATGAACCTTCGAATAAATTGATAGAATGACTGAAGGCTGTGAGAAGAAAAGCAGATTTAAAAGTATAAATCAAACTTGGCACTCATAAGCTCAGCTCTAAAGATTCACCAAAGAAATCAATATCAACTCAAGAAACCCATGTTTTATTAATGCCTGTGGGTGTCAGGATGCCTTAGCTGTCCTGTTGCTGGATTTGTTCTTTTTAATGGGAATTTCCGGC